TCTTGATTATATCGTCAACAAATTTAAATATTGTTGCATCAAACTCGATCGGTCCATTTATTGGCCTATAGTGATATGTCGTCGATATAATCTTCCAATCTTCATCAATTTTCAGCTCAATATGGTTGGATTTCACTTTTCCATCATTATTAATCCATGGTGCACGAAACTTGATCTTACCCACCTTTCTATTCTTGGTGTTGAGAAACATATTATCCAATTTGTATCTCAGAAGAGCGAGACAGGTAGTGTCCTCAAAGAGTCGAAAATGAATAAAAGGTTTCACATCGTTGAAGTACACAAATATCATATACGAATAGTGAGACATTCTAAGATGTTTTTTTAAAACATATAATCTTTATTTATAAAAGTTTAGATTTATTATGAACCACACACAACTGTTACTGCAATCACATCCATAGTGGTTGACAAAATCTCAATTATTGAAATTTAAACTACATATATTTAGTCTCCCTACTAAATATTTGGTAGATGCATGTGCTTTTTAAAAAAACCAATGATATATACTATCAGATTTTTCAACATTTAAAAAAAAATCTAACAATCCAAAGTGTTACAATTTTTCCACACATCGATTTATTTTATATAATCGATAAAAAGTCTATCGAACTTTTAGAATGCACTACTAAAATTTTCTTTTTCAGCTAAATTTTTATATTGCACTACCAAATTTTACGTGCGTTATTTCTTATTAAAAATTTGACAATAATATTTTTAGTATTATAAAAAATTGGAGGACGTCAAGTTTAAGTGGAAGGGTGAATGGCAGGACAAAATCTCATCGGTGATTTCATTAGCTAATATAATTTTATTTTTTTAGGTTTTATATAACTAACAAATTACTTTATTATAGAAGTCAACTTTCTAAATATTTTATTTTGATAACCAAATATTAAAATTAGGAGTACAAGGATACTCCAACCCAAAACAAATTACAAATTAAACACCAAGCATAATAATAAAACTTTACCCTAAAATTGCTACCAAAAGCTAGCCATAACCAAAATAAAAATTTGATATTATAAACAACATCATCTATATGGGCTCATTGTTTCGGCTTTAAAAAAAATGAATTATATAGGATTATATATTTTTTCTTTTTAAAAGTTTTTAAAACTAATTCTAAAAAAATAATTTATATAATTATTTTTAAAATGTTATTTTAAAATATTTTTTTAATATATATTTTTTGGATATCAATATTTTAAAAAATTATTTTAAATTAAACATATTTAAATAGTTTTTAATAAAAATTAATTTTGAGATAATATTTTTAAAGAAATTATAATTTTAACTATATTTTAATAATGCATAGTTATATCACATAATGTCCAAATTAATCTTTGCATTTATAATAAACTAATTTAAAAGAATTTTAATATTTTAAAAAATGTTTTCATATAAAAATACAAAAACAAAAATCTATTTATTTAAGATAAAATAAAACGCTCGATAAGTTCCACTATAAATAAATTTATACTTCATTTTAGACACGTAATGAGGCGAATAAGGAAGAAACTAATAAATTTTTAAATTTTACAAATTTTGACTTTTATATTAATAAAATATAAAATAGTATTAATGAATAGTTGTGATACACGGATCCTATAAAATGAAGTAAATGAGCTCATGTAAAATTGATACCCTTTTATTGCTTGTCTACTTCTTTTGTTTTTTAATTTTTAATTTTATTAATTTTAAATTGATATCTCTAACCATAAATAAAAACCAATCATATAAGATAAATAATAGAGTATGAAGAAAGGAAGAAAAAAAAATAAAGAATATGGAAATTTAATTAATTTAATTCTTAAGTTGATTTGTTATATTTATTAATTGTGAATTTAATTTACATTTTGTTCTGGATTGTGTCGGAGGCTGGCCTACCGTCGGGCACGATCCAATCCAGCTCTCTGTCGGGGAGTGCTCAATAAAGGTCCAATCCTTTAACTTTCACATAGAGCTCTCACACGTTTTCTACACGGTCTCCACGTGCCCCCCACAATATGACACGTCATCTGACCACTACCCACCTCCGGAAGATCACAGGACAGTTGAGTCAAGGTAAAGATCATGTGTTAATTTTTCCTACATCACGTAAGACCCGACAGTTATTCGTATTGGACCTTGCAACACAACCCAATGCAAAGTAACCGTTAGCTCAGCGCTGAGAGCATATTATAAATACTTTCTCTCACTGGAGTGTCAGTTATTCAATTCTTTATACACTTTCTCTGTACTTGCTCTTTCAACCCCGCCTCTTACTTCCTTGCAGGTACACCCCCATCTCTTCTCCACCACCATCCCTTCATCCAAAGCTAAATCTTCTCTGAATCTGAGTGTTATCTAAGAACATCATCACCTTCATTTCACTTCCTTCACTGTTAGATTGAAGTAACATTTAGAACTAACATTAGAGATTGAACAATATTAACTAATTATAAAATTGCTAGATAGTTCTAAATGTTAGGCCAACCTCTGTTAACATCTCTAATTATAATATTAACTAACATTTAACACTCTTAACTAACTGAGTTTTCTACTAACCCCTAACATATTTAACACAAACTCTAAACTATTTTTTCACATCAACTTCAATATAACAGTTTTACTAACCATAACTAACATTTCATTCAAAACAACTCAGTTACAATTCAACTACTAATCCTAACAGTCCAATTCATTAACATCAATAATAACTGTCATCTATTCTAACTACACAAAATCACTAACTGCCAATTAACCAATTCAACAACTAATTCTTAATGAAATTAACACCTGCACTAATTCAAGATACTAACAGAAACATAACAGAGTTAGAATTCTAGCAACTCTCCTCATGAATCTAACTAACATTAACAGTGCCCTAACTTTCATCTCCAACAAAGCAAATTCCTCAATCAAATTAACTAACACAACTAACCAATTCAAATTCCTCACTAACAGTTCAATCTCCTGAGACCACAATCAAATTCACTTTGCAATTAATTAGTGTTCCAGATCTACAAAAGATATTCTCCATAATCATTTAAAAATACACAATAAAAAAATGTGATAATATTCTATAATATGCCATAGTTATTATTAGTAGATCACCAAACAAATCAAAGGATTAAAAAAGTACCGTTTTTATACCGTCTTTCTGAAGCTTTGCTTTTGCCCCACCTCCACAAGTTGAACCACGATATTACGTGCTAATTTTGCAAGCTGCATAAATAACCCAACTTACTAATATAGGAAATAGAACATTGGACTATGAAACCTTGATAGAAACACATAGAATTACCTACACTAATAGTATCAGTAACTAATATATTCAGACAAAATAAGAACATATAGTAAATAAAGAAAACAAAAGATGTTGAATTTTGTCTAAATCATGATGTTAATTTGCCTTTGCCTACAGTACAAAATATCAAGAAGCTTCCAATTCATTCAAACAAACAATTCCTAGTAACACAGTAAACTAAACATTTAATAGTGTACCTCACTGAAATTTTAAGTGAATCATTTTATCAATTCCATATAACAGATACTCTTATGATTTGGCCTATGGTTTATCATTTTCTCTTTTTCCTATAATTTCATTCACTTTCCCTTAATCTATGAGGATAGAGAGAAAACATGAATAACATCAAATGACATCAGAACTTTAGAACTTAAGAATACAACTCATTTCTTCTAACCTAAGACAAAGGAAACCCACAATCTATACCAAACTTACCATTCCCCTTGGAACTGTTCTCCTCATCCTACATACATTCTAGCTCCCATGTTTCACCCGTCCTCCTTCTAACAGACTCTCTCTATTCTGTACCCATTATCATTCTTTATTTTCCTGTATAAGGTGAATACCAATGGCAGAACACTACATAAACTCTAAGAGAAATGTTACCGGCCAAGTTAAATACCAATGCGAAACACTATATAAACTCTAAGAGAAATGCTACCGGCCAAGTAGAATGAGAAACTTACGTTTGAGAGGTGTAAGGATGAGAGAAGGGAGGACGGTTGCCGACATGAGGGTGAAAATGTTATAGGTCCTCGCTTGCAGAGAGATGAAAAAGTTAGGGTTTCTCAATTTTTAGAAACTATATGGCGCTATTTTTTGGATGAAAAAATTCAATTTTTAAAACAGATTAATTAATTAATAGATATTGAATTAAATTATTACAAACATGGTGTTAATGTTCTGGTGGTAGAGAAGTCTTATTATGTAGTAAGGGACGTGGGTTCGAGTCTTGGCTTTGCAGTTTTTTTTAATTAATTAATTAATAGATTTGTTGTATTTGTTAATCGTGAATTTAATTTGAATTTATTGTTTTTTTCTACTTTCTTTTGTTTTTTATTTTTATTTATTTTTTTAAATTTGTTAATTGTGAATATAATCTAAATTTATTATTTTTCTTCTCTACTTCTTTTGTTTTTTATTTTTAATTATTATTTTTTTAATTTTAAATTAGTATCTTTAACCATAAGTAAAGATCAACTAAAAAATATAAATAATAGAGAATACGAAGATGGGGAAAAGAATAAATAGTATATAGATTTAATTTATTTAATTCTCAATCTGATTTGTTATATTTTTAATTGTAAATTTAATTTGAATTTATTGTTTTGATACATGTGGATTTAATTTAATTTAGATAAAGACACTTATGATATCGAATTTTATTGTGTAGGGGTCTTTGGCATAAGCCAATAAGAATGCAAGCCCATTGGAAACAATAAGTTGATGGTGAGAAATAAAATTAATATAATAAAGTTTCTCCGAACAAAAAGCCAAAATATATAGAGAGAAAAATTATAACTATAACTTTCTTCTTTTTGCATGTAAACAAAATGACAATAAAATATAAATATATTAACTTACACATCCGTTTTCGAAATCAAAATTTTAAAATGCGTGATTGAAAGTTTAAAGTTACACATAAGTTTTGGAAATCAAAATCTTAAAATTTGTGAGCGAAAGTTAAAAGTTAATGCCATCTTGGCTGAATCCATGTGCCTTTCAAGTGTTCTTTCACATTATGAATATCCACCACTTGATCATGTTGAAATGTGTGATAGTTGTTTGTTTCTAATGAATAAAACACAAGACTGTGCTCATAAAATCTTGAAAAATAAATTTTGTTTTCCATTCCAGGAATGCTTGCGACGGCAGAAAATGATGTTTTACCAAGAAAAAGCATGTGATTTTTGAGACTTTCAACTCTGATCCATGTCATATTAGACTCATTCAACTTGAAAACCTGGACTGTTTCCCACACTTGTTGAGAACAATCAAATTTGTAAACAACAACTGCAGTAACCCTACCCAGTACATGGAAAATTTCAATTCTAAATAGTTGGTTGTTGGATCCAATCAAGTGACTTATAAGTTGCTGGAAACTAGTTGGTTGATGTTTTCTCATGAGGCAAAATAAGCAGTTGATTGTAAAGCCATTAAGTTGATGTTTTTCAATAACTACCACAATAGAATGGTACTCTGCACAGAGGGAATCATTGTAGTGGGTAGAATGGTACCCTGCATAGACGCAACCATTGCAGTAAACTGGGTTATCAAAACAGGTCACAGAAGGAGTTGTACCCTGCGTCGCAAAACCTCTAACAAGGCCATTAAAAAAGCACACTTCAATCCATTGTTGATCTCCAAGTTGGTAGTAAAATATTGAAGGCCTATGGGATGAAAATAAATAAATGGAGCATGTTTGATGATTTGCGGATGGAGGAGATGACAAAATGCAGTCACCAATAGCGGTGCCATTGTGTTCAAGTGGTGGGAGAATGATTTTGTTAAGGTTATATGGATTCCAGAGAACCAAGTTACTAACATATTTTGATATAATGTTTTCCCAAAGAAACCAACCATGTTGAACTGTTAGAAGCTTTGATTTCCCAAATTCTAGAATTCGTATAGAATTGGATTTAGATGTATCTGATATACTGCAATAGGTTTGAGTCTTTAGGGCTTTACCAGTGAAATACAGAAGCATAGGTTTTCTCTCTCCTTCCATATTCAATTTTAATTTCTCTAAAAACAGAACAAAACCTATTAAAATAACTAAATCAAAAGCAAATTAGCCTCTCAGCTTTTGCAAATCCGAAGACCTGTTTGAGAGAATAACATTAACAATCACAAAAGAAACTGCTCAATCCCTTAGTGAACCAGGAATGAAAACCTAACATATATATAGAGAGAATAAAATAGGGTTAATTTAGTTTAGAAAATCCAAAATTTTACTTTAAACACTGGATTGAACAACCGAACCGAGGAAAGGAAGGGATTTTTTTTTTTTTTATAATATTTTCTTCTGTTTTTATTTATTAGTGAAGAATATTTATAGTTATAGACAAATCATAAAACTTGTTATTAAAACAATTACAAAGCAAATCAATTAACATTGTTGTTATAAAATAATTTATAATTGAACAAAAAAAAATATTGGTATTGATTATTATAAAATTAATATTAGTTAAATTTATTTTATTCTATTATATTATATTCTTTCATTTTGATCAATTTTATTTGCATATCATATTTCTTTTGTTTTATGCTTGTTTTAAACTGGACAGAAGTTCAAATGACTAAGACTTAATATATTTTAAATTTATTTTATTTGATTTAAGGTATAAAAATCAGTTTGCACGTAAAAAGTAATGTACATTCTCTAATCTCCACTTTTCACTATACTTATCTTGAATCTTGAACTGATTTGTGCGTTGGAGTGTTAATCATCCAGGTTCACCTTACTCCACCATAACAGAGATCAAACCATTGTTTCAAGCTCATCGGTGCTTCAACAACATTCATTTCTGGTTTCTAAACGGAACAGTGGTGTCGTCTGTGGGAAACGACTCATGATTCCTACAATTTTCATAATTTCAGACGGACCCAACAGACTGAATGAAGCTCGCATCACAACCGAGGCTATCTCGCCACGGTAAAGCGAAATGAGTTTTCATCACCGAATTTGATCATGGTCGAGCCTGCTGACCGTGATATCTCCTTTCTTTATCGCTTGGTCCAGTCAAGTAGCAGAAGTTCACTGAACACATTCTGAGGTAGGCACCCCGAGCTCTGGTTGCAAAGAGTTTTGTCGGCAATAACTTTAGAGAACTGACTAGCATGTCATTCCAAAGGAAAGACTATACAAAAAGAACAATCCAAGCTCTTTTTGCATAGAATGGGGAGATGGACCTCTCAAGGAACGTCGTCCACATCTTATCTTCTTCTTGGACCTAAGGAGAGTCGACCATATGGCCAGATCACCTATAAGTAGACTGTTAGCCAGTTGTCAATCATCTGAGGTGGACATCCAATTTGGAATAAGACGGATGCTAAGACTTTTCTACCTCGGTGATCAAAAAGTGCCTTGCTGAAGCATTCGACAATGGCAACTCCATGATCCTAAAGTTTCAATGGTCTTCCTCAAGCCACGTCCTTGAGGGAATCGACCATCCAAAAATGCACCAATGGGTAACTATAAGTTAGGGTGATTTCACATCTCGTCCAACTGATGGGGATATCTTAAAGAAAAAAGTGCACCCCATGAGCCCCAAGGGAGGACAGGTATTCAAGACTCAAGACACCGTCCATCCACTATAGGGTTACTATCGAAGGTTTATCTATCTATTCATTTTATTATCTCTTTATAACGAATTCAATTCATTATTAACATAAACATTCGTGCACATTTTTTTTCCTTCCTCTGTTGTATTTTTCTATGTCTTTCTTTTAGAGTGCTAAAGGTAGGTGTAACAAATATTTTCTCACATGATTACGTACATGATACATAATAAACATATTTATGCATATCTGATATGGCTCAAAATGTATTTCCCGCATGATTGTGTATCGATACATAATAAACACACTTATGTGTATCTGATACAGCTTAAAACACATTTCTTTTCTGCATAATCTGATACAAACTAAATGCACTATTGCCTAACTGGTGCACCCACTTCTCATCTAGCCACTCCATGGGCATATGAGGTGGATCTTAGTGACGTCCACCTGGATCTGAGCCAAGCCTCAGCGGTAGGGACGGGGATCCTATCCTTAGTCGGGGACGGTCCTATGTGAAGCGAGACATGTAATACCCCGATCTAATTAGCATTTTATTTATTTCTTGATTTATTTAATTAATTAATTTAAATATTATTTTGTGTGATTTTGGGCGGTTTGGCCTGTTAGTGGCAATTTTGGGAAATTATGCTAATTAATTAGATTTTTGGTGGAATTTAATTAATTGAATAATGGAAAATTTATAAAATATTAAGAGTTGGGTTGAATGTGTAATAATAGAAATTAGATGGTTAGTAGAGAGAGCTTATGTTTTAGTTGGACCATAATTCAATTAATAGAAATCTAATTAGGTTAAATATATATTAAGAGAAATAGAAGAGAGAAAGAGATGTTTTTTGAAAGCATTTGAAAAGAAAAGAGGAGAGCAAGAGCTTTTGGAGAGAGAGTTGTGGCTTTTGAAGAGAATGCCATAGCTTGTTTGCTTGTGCTTTTGTTGAATTTATAAGGTAAGAAAGGTGGATTATTCATCTAAGGGTGGCTATATCATAAAAGGATATAGAAGTTTCCCTTAACCTCTAATAGAGTTCTCTTTTTTCTATTGTTGATTTTAATATGATAAATAATTTACTGTATTTTAGAGTATCAATCAAATCAAATCAAATGAAGTTTTTTTCTCTTTTATTTAGTTAGTCTTACTACATTTTTCATAGTTTAGAATTTAGGTCTGTATCATATTATCAATGAACTCAATATAAACCTATCATTACTTTACACGTGTCTCACTAATCTCAAATCTTGCTGAAAAATTTTAAATTTTTTTTTCTCATTTAGTTTTTAAACCATTATGTGTCCAGCCATGTCACGTATAAACAAAAGAAAATGTGTAAAAGCCTCAATATTTCACAATCACTTACTTTTCTTAAAAGGCGTCTAGCATGTTATCCCATTGGGTCACATGTTTGCATCAATACATCACATGTGCCTCCACACGGCTTAATAGATGTACCTTTATAAAAAAAATGACTTTCGGATTTTTTAGAATGTTCTTAGATATTTTATGATTATGAAACTTGGACGACTATGATGTATTTAAAATTCTATATATTAAATATAATATTTTATTTTTTTCGTTTAAAAAAATTGAGATTGTTGTATGATTATAGATTAGATTTTATCACTATTTATAATGTTTTCATGAGAATATCGTATAGCAGATAATAATTAGGACTAGAGTTATCTTATATGAACCAGATTATTCTTGATATGTTATAGTTTAATTTTACCGATTAATTTCTATGGACATAGATATCAGAGGTGAATGATTAAAGGTTATCCCATTAAGGAATTAGGAGAAAACAATCTTAAGAATTGGTATTGATGATTTAAAAACTGTTGTTGCAATATTGGTTCAAAGTTGTCACAGGAACGATTCATACACCTTCCCTAGCATATTATCATTATCTGTTTTAAACATAACACGATCTATTTACTTTTCTTGCAATTGCATTTATAATTCTACAAAACAATTCCAAACCCCCAAAGGTTTTTGTTTGATTAGACAAATATTTGAACTCAATATTTATGCGCAGTCCTTGAGATCGAAATTCGAGAGACTTCCCTTATTATTACTACAAAGGCAAACTAGTACACTTGTTATTTTTCCGATCACTAACTCTTCAAACACTAAAGTACTACTAAATGGAGGTTGTAGTGAGGAGACACATAACTTTAATCCATTGCCTATGAGAGAAAGTCAAAGCTCCAAAAGATTACAACAAATGAAATTTAGATATCTTCCTTCGTTTTCTCTTTGCCTCCTTGGTCTGTGTCGGTTTCCATATTTGATCACTTTTCACTCAGATATACTATAAATCCTTATACCATTGTTTTTCCTGTTAGCCAAGAATAAAACGAGGTATTAAGTAACCAATTAGGCAAACCACTCAAAATCTAAAACCAACCTTTCATTTGTAACTTGCATTTTAAAAATTAAATAAATTTTAAAAAATTAAAAGATGAATAATAGTTTAAAAAAATATGTAGTTTACAAAGGACGTTAATGGAAGAAAAATAGGTCAACCCAAATCCTCATATCCTCTTTATAAATCCTTTTAAAGTAATTAGTAGTTACAAAAATTTGTTTCATTGTATAGTTTTGTGATTTCACTTTTACTAATTTGATAATTCCTTTTCTACTCTTCCTTTCATCCTCTATCTCTCAAAAAAGTTATTATACACATTAAAGACAATGTTATTGATACATCATACGTGTTTTTATGTATGAGAAATTATATATTTGATGTTTTTGTGGTTAAACTCTAAGAAATATTTGTTGTGGTAAAAATCTATAAGAAATAAACTAATGCAAATAGATGTGCATATGTTCCCAATCATGCCTTTCTCTGTTACTTTGTAACCAATGATTTTGATAAAATTTCCAATGCAATTATGTTAGGATAAAGCCGAGTCATACTTAATTTGATTATGATAGTTACTGCATTCCAAATTTTCAAATTTAATAACTTGAATATTTTTTAAAATAACCTATTTTTTCAAATTAAATATGAAATTAACAATGTTTTCAAATTAATTAGCAAAATAACATAGTTTTAGGGCAGGTTGAAAAGGATACGCCATATCAAATGGCGCATGCCTTTAAGTTTGTACCCATGCGCCATTTCAAATGGCTTGTGCATGTACATCACACCATATGAAATGACGCCTTCTCTTTGACACACAATGCACACACCATTTTATATGGCCCATCCTCATTTTTTATACCATGTGTGTATGCGCCATTTCATATGACTACTATACTATGACTTCTGTTTAAATACTGCACCACCTTTTATGCATTTCTCACATTTTTCTCATTCCATTTCTAATAAGTCTCCTTCCATTTTTTTTTCAAAATGACTTCCTCTTCTTCTTCCTCATATCTCTATAAGGTTTCATACATCCACAAGAGAAATGTCAATTTGATTT